TCTGTAGTTTTGCGCGGGCTGCTCCCGCTTTATTCAAGTATGCATGCAGAAGATACCGCATACACGTTACACATGCGAAAAATCCCGAAAACACACATTGAGCCAACACGGTCGCTTGGATTCGAAAGTTGGACCGAACTACCAGTAATCAGAGGTTTTGAGCGAATTTCGGCCGCTCGGCCGCTTTATTCACTTATGCATCCAGAAGATGCTGCGTACACGAGGCACATGCGTAAAATCACGCAAACACCCATGGACCCAGCCCGTTCGCCGGGATTCGAAATTAGGACCGAACTACCAGAGTTCAGCTTTATTCATTTATGCATCCAGAAGACACTGCATACACAACAGATATGCGTAAAATCACAAAAAACATGAGTGTAGCCTGCCTGCTCACCGGGATTCGAAAGTTACCGTATACCATCTCAAAGGAGCAAAGAAAAATCTTTAATCTAAAAAAAAAAAAAAAAAAAAGTGTGAATTTAATTTTTATTGGTGCGAACTTATTTAAAATATCATTTGCATTAAAAGATAATATCTAAATTAAGTGCACGTATCTAATAACATAAAAAAATATATTATTCCAAAAAATCAAATTTATTATTAAAAAAATAACAACATATTTTTAAAAAATAGCTTTTTCAGATTTTTTAATTAATATCCCAGCTGATTAAAGTTGTACAACTTCAAGAACGTCATCATTTAAATTTAATGTAATATAATAACTTTTATTCAATATCAATAAAAGAATTAACGTGACAATCATCCTAACCTGAAATTAAAAAAAAATTGTGAAAAGCAGCTGTTTATTTAAAATGCCTACATTAACGAAATATTTTTAAAATACAGTTAGGTAACATGCAATCGCGTGCTTTATTCAACTTTAGAATATAACCTTGATTTGTATCTGATCTGCGGCGATTCAAGAAACTGTTGCAATCGGAAAAATGAGCCCGAAAATTAGCGTTTTCACAGTTTTTAATTAATATCTCAGCTGATTAACGTCCTACGAAGATGAGAATGGTATCATTGGATTCGTAGAATTTTTTGGAATCCGCAGACACCTGCCTCGAATTCCAACTCAGCGCCGTTCCATAGATATTTAAGAAAAAAGAAATTGACACGTGACCTTTCGCCAGCACAAATCTCGAGCGGAAGCAATTGTCATCCCCCCGGCGCTTTCGAAAAAGCAATTTTATCTCAGCTAATTCCGAGACGGTTGCCACTCCGAAAAATGAAATAACGTTTTCGCAGTTTTTAATTAATAACTCCGCCGATTATTGTCGTACGAAGATGGGACCGGTATCGATGGATTCGTTGATTTTTTTCGAATACGGGGATATGCGTTTCGAATCGCAACTCGGAGCCGTTCCGCAGATATTCGAGAAAAACGAATTTGGCACTCGGCCAAATCCCTAAAATAGGGGAAACCCGTGAAAGAAAGTGCAAAACGTAGGGAAATGTAGGGAGAAAAAATCAGTTTTTAATTAATATCTCGGCTAATTAAAGTCGCACGAAGATGCCGATGGTCAATCCGGCGAGCCACGGGCATTCTGAATCCAACGGTACCTTCCGCTAAGCTCTACACCCAGCCGTTCCCGAGGAGATGATGTTACAAACACACAAACAGACAGAGGCACACAGATTTTAATAGTATAGAAGATGTTATCAAACGAGTTTTGGTGCAAACGCGTTAAAAGGCAAAATGTAAAATCGACAAATTTTGATAGTAATGGCGGTAAGTTTCTCCCAAAAATATTGGCAGAATTTCACTTTCGCATATGGAGTTCCAAAAATACATTTCTGCAGTTAATATTCAGTAAGGATGAATTAAAAATGTTCATTTTTTTTTTTTTTTTTTTTTTTTTTTCTTTTTTTAATAATTTCGGATAATTTTAAAATTAATTCTTTTGCTTCTTACCTTATGTCAATATATAAGATTGACATATCTTCTAGTAGATGTTTATTAGACTTGAAAGACATGATTATAAGCTATAACATTTTCCTTATCCACGATTTTAAAATTTGTCTTAAAATGTAAATAAACCTTTATTTTCATTTACTTATTGAAGACATTATTGTACTGAATTCTATTACGTCATGTATTATAGTGAAAGCTCGACTGTCTGGAAAGCTCAGGAAGTACTGAATTCTGGATAATTTATCATTAAAAAATTTAAGATTTACATCAGAAAAGCCAAACCAATGAGAAAAATTCCTGCTGTAAAAGTAAAAAACAATCATCTTATTTGTTACCAATTTGAATATAAAAATCCTATTTTTAAATTATGTAAGATTTTAAAAAATAAAAACACAGACATGAAAGGGGACATATTTGGATTGTTGTGAAATCCTGCTGAAAATGAAAATTGGTAGAGATGGCACATCATTCTGATAGAAATTTAAATGAACAGAAGTATTTGGTCAGATAATAAAGGGATACAAAAATATGGATATAGCATATAAAAAAAAATTCTTATTGTAATTTTTCTCGTTATATCGCATTGTCCGTTCATTTTCAAAGTCTCATATTGTGGCTGTTTTTGATGCCTAGATCCTGTAACTTTGAAAATACTGCTCTTACTGCAGTATTAAATATTAATCATTTTCTAAAAATGTGAGGAAAAAATAGAACTTGTATTCTCCTGTAAATAAATACAAAAATAATCTGGCTCATCAAGAGCTCATTGAGTTTACATTTAAATGAAAACAAATTTATGTTTGTCTTGAGACGTCATGCTTATCCATTATCAGCGCAAAATCTCACTGTCTGGCAACAACATTTATGTATTAATAGTATTAATGCTGTGTAATGGCATTAAAAATCTGTAATTCACTAAATTTTTTGTGTGAAAAAAAGCTTTCTAAAATTTTTAAATATTTCTGTTAGTTGAATGCCAGATAGTCAGGCTTTCGCTAAAATATATATTATTTAAAAAATATGCATAAATATGTCTGTTATTGAATTGTGTTGTTTTGTAGTCAAGGCTGGTTCAGGCCATCACCAATTTTCAGAATGCATCAGCTAAGTTATTATCACAGTTGGTGACTAAGTAAAAGTATACTTCAATATGAATCAATAAAATGTTTAATTTACAGAGCTGTCTACTGTACTGACCACCTAGCTCACCAGCAGCTAAGCAGTAAAGTTGCTGAATGCGAGTAGTTCTGACCTGGGTTTGATTCCAGGCAAATGGGCTGGCTACTTAGGTGTTTTTGTGGTTTTTTTGATGTGTAATGTATACATGAGCCAGTTTCCCTTTGAAAGTCCTTCATGAAGTCTCCCTCAGGCAGATAGGCATTCCCATAATCAAATTAGATGAAACAGTACTGACCACTTAAGATGTGCGAAATCCTAGATGTTATTTTTGTTTATCCCTTCTCTTAGTATTCTATATATTACCATAATTGCTTATTATTGTGATATTTTTAAATGCATTCCAAATTTAATTTTACATTTAACTTTTCTATTTTAGCCATTATAATAAATCTCTGGATCTGAGTTTACCAATTCGTTTTGCTAACTTACCAAATAATGCTTTATTAGAACTTCGTCCAGCTAAAAATATTCGCAAGGAGAGTTTAGTAACTGTTGGTCTACAGCTTGAATCTGGCGAGCGATTCATGGAAGATTTTCCACCATCTTCTTCAGTTTCAGATGTTATAGAGAAATGTCTTCGTTCAAGGTACTTTTTTGTTTAACAAGTAGTATATTATTTTAAAAGGTATGCTGTCATAAATTTATTTTATCAGTAATTACATTTTATATTGTATTTTAGGACTGATACTGATAATTTACAAGAAAAAGGAGAAACTGTTTGCATTTATATGCGACAAACGGTAATTTATGTGATTAATAACTATTTAGAGTCAGCATAAGCTTCCTTTTGTATACTTACTGTTTCATTTATTTTAACTTAAAGTAAAAGTTCATTAAAAAATAAATGTTTTTTTTTTTAAATTGTTGTATTTGATTTAAGGTATATTGTTCTTTTTTTGGGGAGGGATTATATATAAAGTTCTGTTTGCATATTTTAATGCTAAGAATTTAATGACATTTTAGATACTTTCTGTTAATAGAGATGGAATTAATAGAACTATTTTTATTATTTTATCAAAATGTACATATGCTGCATTTACAGGCATGCCATAAGTAATTTTTAACTATTCTGGCTTCTTTACATATAGCTGCATCTTGTTTCTCTTTGTTTTTTTATATTAATCAAATACAGAAATAATTAATACAATTTAATATTTAGGTCAGGGGCGTAGCTAGAGGGGGTTATCTGTTCCCGGGCGCAGAATCCAAGGGGCGCCTAACTGATGTTACGACATTTTAGAATTAAATGTTTTCCAGCCTTGGCAAGCAGTAGGGGGTTCGAAATCTTCAGTTGTCCCTGGGCGCTGAAAACCCTAGCTACAACTCTGATTTAGGTGCTAGTATCTTGTATGTAATGAAATGCATGAATGTGTTTACAGTATTTTAAAGTTGATAAAATGTTATTAGACAATAGTTATAAATAGCTTAGAGGGATAGTTATATATATATCTTAAGCAACGTTTTTGACGGCAGCCCGGTATGAGATTTTAAATTTTTTCGTGACCCACCTTATAAAAAAAACATTTATTTACAAAACTAATTTTATTTTTTAATAAAAATCAAAATTCAAGTTATTTTTTGTTTATTTCATACACAAAAATTGCAAAATAATAAGATAACAAAAATATAAGTAATTAAAGACAATCTATTATCTTCATTTAAAACTTAAAGTAAATTTTGTTTTGCATATTTTAACCTTAGTGTGAAGGGTGATGTTGTTTTTCATCATATAATAATTTCAAATTAGGACTTAATGATGTTAATTTTATTCTTAATTTAGGTTCAATATCCAATCTGTTTTGATACTTATTTTTTAAGTACACTAAGGCTGAGAACGCAGTTTCACACGTATAAGTGGTGACAAAAGGCATTAAAAATTGTATTGCCTTTTTAACTTACGCTTGGATATTCCTTTTGACAGCGCAACCAAAAATTAATAATTGGTACAGTTTCAAACAGTTTTTTAGGATCGATGTCGCATGAAATTTCAATTAAATTATCAACTTCTTGTTCACTAAGATTAAGCATTTTTTCCTTTTTAGTATTGACAGAAAAAGGATCTTTAATTCACATATTATTTGAAAGAATATCCGGAAAGTAGTCTTTAAAACTATTTATTAGCTCCGAAAGATGTTCTTGAATTGAAACTGATAGTGTTACAAGATGTAAATCTTCATCGTAGTTTTAATGGGTTTCAATAAATTTATGCAATGTTTCAAAAGATTTTAAATTTCCTTTTGAAAGTTGTTCTTTCCACAGAGTCATTTTTTTAAATTATTGCAGCGACTTTTTCCGATACTACGAAAATATTTTAAACAAAGCCTTGCAAATTTAAATTCAATCATTGAATGTAGCAAATGTCGCAAAGTAAGTACTTTTTAACCACTCAAAATCGTGGAATCTATCTTAAATGGAAAAATAGCATCTTTTTTAGATGGTGGGTGTTCATTCAGAAATACCAAGCTCGTCTTTAGCTCAAACAGACGTTTTAAATGTTTTTTTGAAACCTCTGAATTACAATACAAAGGGAGGTGTTTATAATCACTTCCCATGTCCTTGCATAATTCAGTAAAAAGTCTCCTATTTAATGAACCAGACTTTATGTAGTTTACAAACTTGACACATTCTTCCAAAGTTATGTTTAAATTTAAAGGCATTTGTTTTACCACCAATGCTTGTTTATGGATACTACAGTGCACTCATACACAATTAATTGCTAATTCTTGAATTTTTTTAAACAAACCTTTATGACACCCTGCCATTGCACATGTTCTATCGCTACTTAGCCCAACACACTTTATCCAGTCAATACCGTGACTAGTGACAAAATCATTGGTAGCCTTAAAAATTTCATCTGAGGTCGTTCTTCTCAGTAGCCTTTTACAAAACAAAAAATTTTCTTCTCTATGGTGTCTTCGTCAATATATCTGACAAAACACATTAGATTTGCATTATCCTCGACATCATCTCATGCTTTCATCTCTTTGCAAGGGAAAAAACTTGCTCTTTTTTGCTTGAGCAACTAGTTCTTCTAAATGTTTTGCGCAATCATCAATTCTCTGGTTAACTGTATTATTTGATAATGGTATCACCGAAAATAAACATTTTTCCTTTAGTCCGCATAAATTATTTGCAACAATTTTCAAAGCGGGAAGTAAATAATTTTTCTCCAGCACTATGAGGATACCCAGTTTCAGCTATTAATTTGGAAATTTTAAAAGATGTCAAAGTGAGGTTTTTAATTTACTGGTGAGGTAAGAGTGTATTTTTCCATTTTTTTTAGCAGCAATCAATTCATTTTTCTTATCAGTAAAAAAGTTAATTGGCTTATCAGAGTACTCAAAATGGAGTGTGTTTAAAATGCCATTTAAACTTTGACGGTTTCATATTTTCATTTCAAAGTTGCTCATTGCAAATAACACATAACGGCAAATTATTTTGACTGCCACCGGCAATGAACCCGAAGCGTAAATATTCTTCACATTAGTTGCGAGTCCAAGTAGCTTTACGCTTGTTATTTTGGTGCTGTATATCTGCTTTAGGTGCTTCAGGCACAGTTTCTTCACGATCATGATGTTCAGCTTTGCTCGTGCTTGGTTGATCATCATCATTTAAATCTGTGGTTTTCTTGATTAACCATTTATTGATTTTAAAAAAGGTTGAAATCTTTAATAAAAAGAATTTGTTTATTAATGATTTATAAGAAAAAGTATTTTTATTACTTACCAATATGAAGTTGCTATTAATAATAGGTAATACTAACTATTGTCAAATAAAATAGGTAACAAAAATTCAAACATAACCTTGTTTTGATACACATAAGTTTATGGTGCATGTACCAGAGAAGGCACTGAATGACGAATCAAAATCAGCCAATCAGAGCATCCAAATTTTTAAACAGTCTGGTAGGAAATCGTGGTAAAGGATTGCCACCTGCAGTACTTGAAAATGTTTTGAAAAATATTAAATTTAGAGCAAAATGTTACAGATTTTTTTGTGTTTTTACAATTTTTGCCACGTCCCAGCTGAATTTTTCTGCGATCCATTGCCAGGTCACGACCCACACTTTGGAAAACGCTGTCTTAAGGGATTTATGATTGTTTCTGATTTTTCATTTAAAATAAAAAGAGCAGAGAAAAAATATTAAAATCAACTCCACATATTATCAAAAACATATTTTATACCCAATTTTCAAATATGAAATACACACGGTGTGATCAGTCAGTAGAACTACGTCAAGACAAAACAAGTAGCAACACATCAAAATCTACTGTTAATTTCCTGGAAAAATGCAACATGAAATGGATATCAAGATCATACCCTTCACTCATATCCCTACTAAATCTCCTGATCTATCACCAGTGTATTTTTGCGCTTTTGGACTTTTAAAAAACTGGTTGTCCAAACGTCGACTTGCAACCTCTTTCGACTTTAGAAAGCTATTCGAGAACAACGGGATAAGATAATTCTTCCGATACTATAAAAAGCTTCATTGTCTTGGAAATTACAGTGTATAAAGGTAGTGAAAAATAAGGATTATCAAATAGAGCATTTAAAACATAAAAATTTTAGGTAAACTATTTCTATAATTACAGTGAAAATCATCTAAAAAAATGTGTGAACCTCCTCTGTATTACCCAATAATAACTCTCATGTAGACTATATTTTTAAATTTTTTTTCACAATACTTCCAACTCTTAGTTACATAACTTGTAACTGTCATAAAGATGTGTCACACAGTCTCTCATATTCATTAATAGTTCTGATTATGAAATAAATAAAATTTTACTTATGTGTGTGATTATATATATATATATATATTTTACAAGTTTTTCTAAATCTGTATAAAAATTCTTTTTGTATAATAAAAGATTTTCATCAAATGAAATTAAATTGTTTCAGCTATTGCAAAAAATACAGATTTTGCTAATCTTTAACAGCTAATTTTTTTAATTAGTTATCTGGAGATGCTTTGAAAACTACCTCACTTAGGAGCTTAGGCCTAACAGAAGGGAAAGCTATAATAAGGTTATTTATATTTTTCTGCTTTAATATGTAGAAATTTTGTTAACTCAGAACATATTTAATGAGGAAATAATTGAACTAAATATAAAATATGTATTAGTTTAATATTTTGTCTTTAGTTAATAACTGTGTTGTTAATTTTATTTATGAGTGAAGAAAATTATTTTTTCTTTCAATACAAAAATTGCCATTATAAAATTTAAGTTGTAAAAATTGTAACAGTTGAAAATATCAGAGAATGGAAGCATAAGGTTGTTTATGAGGTGTTATGATATTTTCATTTCATATTTTGAATATTTGCACGTTTAAACTAATGAGTGTCCAACTCAAAAGGGGTCCCAGAAATTGTTGTGTAAAGAAAGTAATTGGAGAGGAAATTAAACAGAATTTGAACATGACATATTGCTTGAAATTATTCTACAGTTATGCCAAACTTCCTCAAAATATAGTGTCTTGGACTAAAATCAGAAATCATATTCTTATACTAAATTTAAAATTATTGTGATAATTGCACAATTGAATTAATGACTCAGTACTTAACCAGCATAGATATTTAATTATCTGCAATTATAATTCATGGTCAAAGACTATAGATCTTATCTAAGATAGTAAGCGAGTAACCTGGCCTTGAAAGGCAGAATACAATCTAAAAAACCTCGCCTTCACTACAAATTAACTAATTTGTATTGTAGTGGGAAAATGAATGGGACAAGTGACAATAAAGATCTAAAACATAAAATAACTGGTTAATTAAATAAAGGAACCTTACTGCTTCCATTCCTGAAAAATATTTGCTGATATTTCTTCATCGAAGTCCGTAGTAAGCAAGTACTGAGGCGAATAATATTGCTTTTAATTGGATAATTTTTGTTTGAATAGTTTTCATATATTAATCAAATTGGGCTTATTTAACTGGCTGTGTTTCATGCCTGTTTATTTTAAAGTAGATGACTTCAGAATGAAAGTAATTAAGTAGGTATTTCTCATTATTGGACTGTTTCTTATATTAAAATATATTTCTAGGTTATTGTACAGGAAACCTGAAGAATTAGAGCATCAAGCCCATATTTCTGCTCCTTTAACTAAGTCATCTAATGTTGAATCAGTAGTTATTTTTGAGGAACAGAATATTACCAATGAACAAGTCAGAAAACAACCTCGTTTAAGTAATACTGAAACAAGGTACAGTGATGTACGTAATGATGTGGAAAATAATTTAAATTCTATTAGTTCAGAACAAAATTATTATGCATCAAATGAAGATACTATAGATTTAGAACAGAATGTGAGAAAAGAAATGGATGTTGAAAATGTACTTGACAAAAAGGCACCAGCAGTTGAGGAAAAAGATTCAAGTGGAGATTTAAATAGTGAAAGTCAACTTTCTAACCAAAATATGGAAGTTGATGATGTAACTGTATGTGAAGATGAATCTTCATCTGTTAGTGTAGAGGACATTAAGTATGTAAGTTCATCTTTATGGAAACAGATATATTCTAAAGCTATTAAGATTGTGTGTCCTAAATGTAAAATACCAATTATTGTAGTTATATAACTGTTATGCTGATTATAATTTCTTGTATTCGTTGCAGCTAAAAATCGGGTATCCCACAAATTATTTCCTGATTTTAAAATTAAATAACTTAGATTTAACAACAGTTTAATAATTTGGATTTAACAGAGGTTGATAGAAGAATAAAGCAAGTGGATTTTTATCTTATACTATGTTTTGAAAGCCATAAAAATCTGATACACAAATTTCAGAATTTGTCACAAATGTTGCAGGCAGATGGCGCTGTCTACTGCAGTTGTATTACATTATGAAAAATAAGCTGTAAACTGTTCTTTGCAAACAGTAGTTGCAATCACATGACAGTTAATTCAAAATGTATACTTTTTGCAGCACAGAAATGGCACAAATGAAGAATGAATTTTTCGGTTACTTTTGTAATGTGTCAATGGAAATGGACGTACATGCCTCACAAATCAACCCTTCTTTTGTCCAGCATTACTAGATTGTTCCTGAAAACAGCACCCTTCAATGTACTCCACAAAAAATAATCACAGAAGGTAAAATTGGGCAAGTATGGTGTAAATACGCATATACATTCTTTGTCTCTAAAACTCAATAATAAATTATAAAGAAATTTTGCTTACCTGTCAGACGCATTTTCGCCTTTTGTCATTTTCTCAAAATTTTATTGACAACACAATTAAATACATTTACAACAAAGAGAAGCACATATAAACTTTAGTTATTGTTTCACGTTCGTGTTACATCTTTCTTAGTCATCAAGGTTCTGCAGGAGTCCAAGGAATTCAAGTGCACACAGCGCCATCTAGTGCAATACAGTTTCTACATATGGAGACCAGTTCATGCCTGTGTCAGTAAATGTAGAATAGTCTCTAACAGTGACCTACCTAAAATATTTCTCAAGAAGAGTAAAATCCACTGAAATACAGTGTGTTTGGGTTTTGCATGAACCATGAAATAACTAGTTGATCTTTTAATGCTTGTAATGTGGCAACAAATTGTTCCAAATCCACAATATATTGTTCAGTTGTGATTATTTCTCACAAGAAAATGAATCAATGATGTCACTGCTCGAAACTGCAGCAAAAACAGTAACTGTTGAGGTATATAGTGGTCATGCTTGACACTATATTCCTTAAAAGGAATATGGATATTTCCTCAAACAAATATGGATTTTCGGTAATCCAATATAACCAGTTTTCTCTATCATGAAACCATCCTTCAGGGAAAAAAGCCTTAGTAATGCTTATGCTAAGTATTGCAACAAAAGTGGTAACATTTGGGGAATATAATGATTGTACTTGATACAAATTCAGATTTTCAGCAATCCAAAATAACCAATTTCCTCTAGTGATAAAGCTATTCAGGTAAAAATGGGCTTCATCTGTGAATCATATGCAGCTAACATCAAATCCATTATTTTCGATCATTGAGATGCTATCATTTAACTCTTCTCTTTGATTACACAGTATACTAACCTCCTTCGCATTTGGCGGGCAAAATTCTCTGAAGACTAACGTGTTCTTCAGAGTAGTTATTTTAGAGATTTGTTTGCAACTACAGTGTGCAGTATCATCTGTTAGGTGCATTTACAACTAGTTTTGGAAATTCTCTGTCAGATTTTTATGGCTTTCTAAATTAACAGTGTCATTTTTCTGTGGATCTATATTTTGAATTATTTAATTTTAAAATCAGATAGGGTTTTGCGGGACACTTTGTATGTCTTAATATATGCATATTGAATGTGCCCTAAAATGACCACCCACAGTTCCATATAATATCAATCTTTTGCAGAAATGGTCATCTTAGAATAATTATTGTCAGCAGGGCCAGTGCTAGGAATCTTGACACCTGTCTATTAATTCAGGAATGGCATGTTTAAGAAATGTTTAAGTTTCACTTTCTTTGTTAATTCCAAGATATTTTAGAGGGGGAATAATCAAATAATAAATTTTATTGGAAAATAAGTTATTTTAATTTTTGTGAGATTTCTTTCAAATATCTAATTCGACATACATGTATTCTTATTTGCTATCCATGTAAGATTTACAGTCTCTTTTTGTAGCATTGTCTTATAAATGATATATTTTTAATATTAAATATGGTTTCAAAATGATTCTTTCAGTTGCAGCATTAAGTAAAATAATAAATGTTTGAAACTAAATTGATAAGTTAAAATATGTTAAATTGTTAGAAAAGTTATCAAAAGACGCAAAGAGGTTTTTTTTGGGGGGGAGGGGGTCTTGCTATAGCTTTTTAAGCACATATATTTTTGTAGGCTTCAGTGCTGTGTATATGTCTTTTTAGTTACCTATTTCAGTAGATTTTCATTTTAACTTTCTGGCAAAATGCCATGCAGACTTTACGGTGATTTGTCGGTATGTTTGTATTGAAACTGCCATGTTTTATGTTTTCATCAAATTTCAGTTGATAGATTTAAATTCTAATTCCCCATTTATTATCTTTATTATTATTTTGATTTCAAGCACATTCTGTTTTATGCGTCTGTTCTGTGTTCTGTTAAAACATTTGTAATCTTTCCGCTAATTATAAGCGAGTTTAAAATTTATGCTTTGTTATAGAAGTGTTTGTTGATATTCCCTGTGATAAGAACATGTGTCAAATCCACTTATCACTTAAAATGAAAATAATTCAATAACTTCAATTAATAGGTCTTTAACACAATAAAAAATTCTTATTATAAGATTTTGTTTTATATATTGAAATAATTTTCTTATTAAGCAAGTAAAATTTTACTTTTTTTGTAATTATATTTCCATTGTGATCATTATAAATTATATATTTTAGATTGCTGAAAGGCATGCTGTTTTGTACAGTTTAGACCATATAACAGATGTGAAAAAAGGTAAAATTAAGATTTTTATCCAAAAGGGGGGAAGTTTTGTTTCTATGATTTACATTAAATTCATAGGTGTATACTAAAAAGTATCTGCCTCTTCTTTTTTTTCTCTCTATCCAGTTATATTCTCTTGCTAAATCATAATTTTATAATTTAAGTGACTTGTGAATTAATGTGGAGTTTAGTAATGTAATCTTGGTAATATCTGGTAACTACATTATGTGTATATGTACAAAGTAAATCAGTTAAACAAAATCTTAGAAGTTACTCGATGGTAATCATGGAGAGCAAGTGAAAAGAAAATTTAATTTAACACAAAATAATTAACGCTTAATAATTCAACTGAAGAGATGAAAAGGAAAAAAAATGGATTTTGATATGCTTTTGTGGTTGTCATCTGAAAACATCCATAAAACATTCAAAAATCAAAATTACATTTATAGTTCTAACAGTGAACAAATTTCCTTCAGTTTTGATTATCAAATCTATTATGCGGACAGTTAAATTGGTGTATTAGTTTCATGAGTGTAATAGTTTTTTTATTGTCAAATTTCCTGCATGGGGAGTAGTAAACAGTATTATTTTAACATTACCAGTATATGGCATAAAAGTTATTTAGCAGAATGAAATATCACGTATATGGTAGCTGCACTAACTGAAACATGGTTGAATGTTGAAATGTGAAACATGATATAGTTTCTGTATCTAAAGCAAACCTTGCCAACAGAAATTGCCTACTTGTTGAAATATATTGTTATATAATGACATGTAAATAAGTTTGGTTTTTGTGCATTGAGTTCATTAAAATGTATTACTTTTGTGTAAAATATGCAGCAGTCTGGTCAGTCCAGGCATGTTAACAATAGATAATAATGTGCACCTATTTAAAGCTTTGATTCAAGATAATTATCAATAAATTGAATTATCTTGAATTAAAGTATTGAATCTTGAATTGAATTATCATCATATTCAATTTATTGATTATATTCAATAAATTGAATATAATGCTGCTAAGAAACTCAGCATCTCAGGGGGCAGTTTGCACAGTATCTTTCATATGCAGCTGAGCTACAAGGAGAGCCATTCAAATTACATGTGTAAGTGCAAATGATTTTTAAAATAATTTCAAATCCTCAAGAATGGACTTGTCTTTCATGTGCTATGGTTTAATGAAAAAGCCATTATATTCTCTGCACCATATTATTACAGGAGATGAAACAAATATGCATTTTACGACATCCAAGTTAGAGCAAGCATCTATGTTCACACCTTCCAAGAGACATACAAAGCAATTTCATCCATGAAGTTTCTTCCATGGTGTACTCTTTCATTTCCTCAAGACTAGAAATTAATGCTGCCAGTTATTGTGGCACATTGAGGCTGTTGTGCCAGCAGTTTGCAGAAAGCAACCAGGAATTTCTTTCAAATAATGATGGTTGTTGTACACTAACACCTGAGTGCATGCAACCACTGTCATGCATGATTTTTTTACCACAGTTTTCCTGGATTGTCCTTCCTATAACATGTACCCTTTTTTCTGACCTTAGAAGAAGCAGTTAAGTGGTAGGTGATTCATAACTGATTCAGACATTCAGCAATAATGTGATGCTCTTGTTACAATCATTGTGATTATGTTGAAAAGTAATGTTTACCAGTGCTTTTCTGTTGTGCATATATATGTATGCCTGTGGAATAAAATTTATTGTTAAAATTTTCATTTCAGATCTTAGATCTAGTGAATTTTAAAATTTTTGCTATGCAAGTCCTATAGCCTATATTTTAGCGCATTTAATTCATGAAATTAATTAGTTTTATAAAAATTCAAGATGGATGCCTGGGAACCTCTAAAAAACTAAAACTAATCTTGAAATAAATTTATTATTATTATTCTAGGATATATATTGAAATATTTGCCTTACATTAAATATTATTTGGTCCTTAAGAGGACACAAATAAATTGGCACTGCCTTAAATAAAGATCCTTAGATATATACAGTCAAATATCGAAAATCCTCCGACCTGAAATCCGCATTGCCTCTCAGAATATAAACATTTAGTTTATATGTTCCGGAAACCACAACTTGGAGTACAAACTATCGAAGAAAAATTTTGGATAATGACGTTATAATTACCGAATAATGATGAGTCTTAATTGAAATACCAAATTATTGACATCATGCTAAGAGTTTTTTCCTTTCCAATTTACCTCGAGGTAAAAAAGCAGATTAACTCAACTCTTCTTTCAAGTTCACGCTTCATGTTATTATACTTTCTGAGCTTTGTTATTTCACAAGATTGTTTAGTGATGTCTTCTTTTTTTTTTAATCTGGATATTTTGTGGATAAATTAAGAATATTTTAAATTTCAGCACTTTTTAATACTTGATAGATAAGAAGCGCGCTCGTGATTTTACTGCTTGTAACATTGAAAAACGTAAACACGTTGCATTGATGTTAATGAAAAAAGTGGAAATTCTGCTAAAGATGGAGGTAGGTGCTACTGCTCGGTTTATAGCAGAATCGTATGAAATTGTCACACGGACTATGTATGATATACGGAACAATAAAGAAAAGCTGTTGAAATTTTACAGCAACAGTGATTCTAACACCAGAATCCTAAACCAGAAATCTTTGCATGAGGCGAAATCGGCAAACCTCGATGCTGTCTCGTACGAGTGGTTCCGGCAGCGGCGGAGTGATGGGGTACCTAATTTCAGGACTACTCCTGAGAGAAAAGGGGAAGCAGATTCATGCTGATTTAAAAATAGAGGAGCCTAATATAAATGAAAAATATAATATAATCAGTTTATATATGTAATAATTTAATGCATATAATTAATTATTGTATTAATGTATATAATAATTTAATTAAATGTATCTAATATGCCTTATTTATTTTGCACTTTTAGTCTGAATATTATCTTTTCTGTCCTGAAATCCGTAAAATCTGCACAATATGAAATTCTCTAAAATTTCCAAAACTTGTTAAAATTTTATATAAAATCAGTGGTAATTATATAGTATATGATTTACTGCATAATTATCTACCAAGTTATTTTTTAGATTTGATATTTAGATTAACACTAAAATTTGTTGCTGTTTTAATCATTTCTTTTTTCTGCCATTTTATTACATGTTCAGATTTAAAAATAACATCTTAATGGCACTACCTAAGAAATATGTATTTAACTAAAAGTGGTAGATCACATACTGCATGATTACCAAATTGCCTGAATTTGAAAAATGAAAAATTCATAAAATGTAAAGGTGTTATTTCTTATTTTTAGCTGACTTACCAGATGAATTTTTTGAACTGACAGTCGATGATGTGAAATATCTGTTGGCTGAATATAAAAGAACTAGGTAAGTTTTAAAGTATTGAATTATTGTGCCATTTTTATGTGAATTTAAATAATATTTTTTACTTTTGTGATTACTTTTAGAAAGGAATTAGAAAACAAACTATTGTTAGCAAAAGAATAGTGAATTACTTTGCCATTTTTGATATGAATATATAATATTTTTTTACTTTTTGATTACTTAGAGATGAATTAGAAAATCAACCATTGTTAACAAAAGAACAAAGGCAAAGACAAGTGGTGCAAAAACTTGCTTATTATCATCAAGCTGTTATTCGTGTTTACTTTCCTGAAAAATTAGTTTTACAAGCAGTTTTCATGGTTGATGAAAAAGGTAATGTACATAAGTTTATCATTTTTTATGAGTTGATTTATAATTTTCCATGAAATTACTGGCATTATTTTTATGTGCCTTTTTATCACTATTTTTCCCGTATTCTTTGAGTGTGTATGTATGTAAAAAAAAAAAAATTAAACTCTGTGGCACAACAGCCCTATTGGGCCATGGCCTGCAGTACCCTTTTCGTGGTTTCTTGACCTTTCGGCCCCAGATTGCATCAGCATATGCCCTGGGTCAGCTTGTCGCAGGACCCCTGTTGTTTAGTCCCTAAACGAACTTGGTACTCAATTTATCGATTCACTTAAGGGATGAAAGGCTGAGTCAACCTTGTCCAGCCCAGGAATCGAACCCAGGACCTGTGATGCAGCTGCTCGATGTGCTAGCCACTTCACCACCAGGCAGTTGTGTATGTATGTAAGGTATAACAAAATATGATGGCTGCTTTAGGAATTATTGGTGACCTCAAAATTAACTATTTTAGATTTTATGCTAAATTCATCTGTTCTCCCAAATTCAAGATCTTTCCATGTTACGTAACAATTAATGCAGATACCTGTTGCCCAATCAAATAATTGTAAACCAAAACTTTTTAAGCCAAACTGAAACTTTTAGCTCCCTCCCTTATTTCTTTGAATTGCTGCATCCTTTTTGCTTATGCTTATGCGTCCTTATGCTTTCCTCCTGGCAAGACGCTCCTTATCCGCGTTGCTGCTTACTTGCCTAAAATGATGTCATATTTTAAAATCCATGTATGTGGAAATTATTGTATTCAGAGATGATTGAAAAATGTCTTGTCTGCAAAAGGATGATTTGATATGCGCAAAAATAAAGATTGTGATATTTCAGGCTCAGTTGTGTTAAATGCGTCATCGAGCCTTCATCCTCAGCCAATATTGAAAGCTGTAAAAAGTTCCAGTGAAATGCATGAAATGATGACAAACATGTATTCAAATTATTCAGTTTTATATTTTCTAACCATCTGTAATTTTATTTAGATTTATTTTATTCATATCCATAATAAAATGAAACTTTTTTTTTTTTTTTTTTTTCAGTTCAAGCCATATCTGATTTTGTGAGAAATTTCTTAGAAAATAAGGATTTGAATTTTTATTTATGTAAGTTTCTGTAGATTACATTTTTATAAAAATTTCTGAAACATACTTACATATGTACATGTGTGCGTGTGCGCTCACGCATAAGAATTATCAAAATATTGATTTTAGTAATTGAACTTTTGGTTACTAATTTAACATTTTTTTTAATTCAATAGAAACTATACATCTGATTCCTATTAATACTGTTGCCAGTTGTAATTGGGCCAGTTCATGATGTAAATCTTCAAGAAAATTTTCTTGTTAAAAGAATTTCTAGAGAATATTTTTTTTTGGGGGGGGGTTAGGACAGCATGCCATTTAATTAAAATAAGCTCAAGCAATATAAATATTTCATTTCAGTGCATAGTAAAGCCACAACAGCTAAAGGTAGATAACTAGCAGTAATTATATATTGATATAGATTTTTTACAAAAGACTGTATTTTTTTAATACAGTTATATCATATGTTTGAAAAAATTGCATTATTCAAAATATTTTTCACTTAATATTTGTTTACCATGTTCTTATCATTATTGCTAAATCTTACAGTTCACAAAGTCATGGCCCCATTGTTTTATCCTCTAAATTTGAGTTTGAAATTTTGAATGAAGTGTGGTTCAGAAATTTTTGATAGCAAATAAGCAAAGATCACATAACAAGGTTGGTTTTAAGATATTTTGCTGCTTTCTGTGAAGTGTGACATAATTGTTCTTTTAAACTTTCATCTTTATCATATAATTTATGTCTGCATATAGTTAATTACATTTTCTGACAGCTTTTCATCTTGTTTAAAAAAATATATTGTTGTGAGCATGAATAGTTTCTTTCTTGTATGGGCAGTTTGTATATGCTTTGTTTATTATTAAGTTGCTGGGAAAGTTTTAGCTGTTTTAAGCCTTTATGAAATGTCTCTTCAAGGGAACAGTTTCAGAATTTCTGCTATACATACCTGCCAACTTTTACGAATTTTTCGTAATTTACGAAAATGCATTTGTTTTTACGATTTTACAATCGTAATCCATTTTTTATCCATTTTATCGTAATCCTTTTTCAAGTGTTTTTAGTGATTTTTTTCGAAATTTTAGAATTTTTCGCCAATTCAACGATTTTTGCCATTTGCATCGTGTTTTACCTCCAACTACCGACTACTTCGAATCCAGTAACCTGCATTTGCTCCCAACTCGCCGCTTAACCAGCCAATCCAAATGCGCTGAACTTGTTTCCTCAAAGGTCAACTTTGTTAAAGAAGTTGAAGGGAAGAAGAAACAGTCTTCTATTAGCCGGGAGGAAAGGATTTTCTATCTTCTTTCTTCGGATCTGAACAAAGCATATTGTAGTTTTTGTGTTAAGTACCATTAAGATTTTTGAAAGCATAAATACCCTTCTACAATCAGCTTCGCCAAAATCTCCCCTGCTTATCCAAATTCTTAATGATCTTTTGAAAGAACTTTATACTAAGTTTGTAAAACCGTCCGTTGTGAAAAACAGTGTGTTGATTCGTGTTGCCTATAATAGTTTGGCAAATCAAAAGGATGACAATGATCTTATAATTGGAAATCAAACCAGGGAACTTGTAAATTCTTTGAAAGATCATGAGAAAAAAGAATTTTTTCAATGTGTTAGAAAGTACTTTTCCTCAGCCTGTGATTACATTGTTAGGAAGTTTCCTTTGCAAAATGAAGTTCTTTTAAATGCTGAAGTGGCAAATTTGAAACAAATTAAAAATTCATCTTTTGAAAAGATTCATTTTTTTATTGATAAATTTCCATTTTTGTTAACAATTAAAGAAAATGAATACAGTTAAAAGTCGTTAATCCGGACTCGTCGGGACTTCGGCGAATCCGGATTATCGATTTTTCCGGATTACAGATCATCAGTTTAAATCTGGTAAAATGGCATGCAGAAATTATAAAAGTAAAAATATGAAACCGTAATTTACGAAATAAAGAACAATTATGATCTAAAGGGTATCAAAATTTACAAAAAAAAGCTTTATTTATTTGTTTACTTTATTAAACATTTCTTTCAATGTAAGTTGTATCAGTTGCTTCGATTTTTATGTGGTAATACATTCTCTTTAATTCTATAAACAGACATCATTTCTTGTTCAGTTACAAAGTTCCGCTGTTCAAGTCCTATAATTGCTGTGTCGAGAATACCCACTAATTTGTCAATCAAAATTTGTTCGTTTTCAATAACCTATGTCACTTTCTTTGCTATCGGAAGCGAATTATAATGATGAGGCATTTGATTTAAATCATATCAAAGACCGAGTACATCGAGATGAAATATTACATTGAGTAAGCAATTATAAGCCAAATAAAATAAAAACATCTGCCCTTAAGATAAGGATAGTGCTGACAAATCAACTTCCAATTCATTGCACACCACCGCAGCGTTAAAGATAAACAAAGTTTAGATAAACAAACGTTTAAGTTTAGATAAACAAAGAATATGCCTTTATCCATTTTTTTGTTTAATGGACTCCGAAAGATACTTTTGCTTTGTATATCCTTTACATATTAGTAAATATATATCGGAAATTCTTTGACACTGAATCTTCGATTTGACATAATCGAAAGTTCAAGCTTACTTTTATAAAATTGCTCTAACAGTCTGCAAAAAATAATAATCCGGATCCAACTTGAAGATTAAGGAACAACGCAATCTGCAACATTAACTGAAATATATAATTAGATAATTTTAGCTTAGCTTATCCCATCCGTTATACATTAAACGCGCATTTGTAAACGTATTTTGCGCACGCGCAAATTCGCAGCGGTAAAGGTCAACGCGCGACGCATGCGCAGAAAGTTTGTAGCTTTGAGGTCCGGATTATAGATCATTCCGGATTATGGGTGTCCGAATTAACGACTTTTGACTGTACCATAATGATGCTTTAGATGAACTACAGAACCAATTTTCTGCTGCACAGTTTGAAGACTTTGCCTGTTCTGGAGAAGTTAACTTGATGTCCTCATTGGTACCTTAAAAAGAATAAAAAGAGCTGATGGAACACCAAAATATGATAGACTAACAAGAGTTTTATGTGCTATTCTCGTAATTCCATACAGTAATGCTGAGTGCGAGAGAGTCTTCAGTGTTGTGAAGAAAAACAAAACTATGTTTCGTTTTTCAATTTCACCAAAAACTCTAGAAAACATTTTAATTGCTAAATGTTATTGAGGAAACTAATTGTTATGACAGGAAATTTTTCAAAGAATTTTTGGCTAAAGCCAAAAAATGCTTTCCAAATTCATTGCAATAATTTTTTTGTGTAACATTAAGTTCTTGTTTTATGTTTGCTAATAAATTTTTTAGTTACTACTTAATTGAGATTTACTAATGTAAGTGCAATTTTCTTTTTTTTATTTGTATAAATTGTTATTTTTTTAATATCAAAGCATGATATTAATTCTTCGTGTTCTTCTGAATTTGGGAGAGAAATCTTCTGAATTTTTATCTTTAGAGGTTGGCAGGTATGGCTATAAAAATGTATAAAGGTAAGTTATGAGAGAAACAAAAGCACATTCAGATAAACTATATCTTTTAAGCATGAACTATAATGAATCATTATATGTCGCTGTCTCTTCTGTGACTTCTTCGAGTCAAATCTTAAATTCACGCCGCTGAGTTAAGTAATTGAGTTAACATTGCATTTTGTGAAATTATTACGAGATAATGCAATGCAAACTAAGCATCTGAGTTTTACAGAGGAGAGATCTATGACATAGTATTAGTAAAAACATGTTATGGTGTAAAGTGCCTACTTTTTTGCAGTGCTTATATAATCTGTCTGTGCAAAATAAATACCCAACAAGTTATGCCCTTAATGTGACTAGAATTTTCCCTGCAACTCAAGTAATTTTTCACGGTAAAATCAGATGTCTTTTTTTTATAAAATATTTTGCTTGTATTTTAAAAGTGTACTAACAGTCAGTTTTTTCTCTCCTAGATATTACTCCACCAAAAGAAAAATTAAATCTTTCAAAAACAATATTGGAGGTAAAACATTTTATTGCAGTAAATCATTGTTTTTAAAGAATTCAGTTTGTTTTTCACACAAAATTTGAAGCATAAGCATCATTATCTTATAGAAATATGTAAATATACTACTGCTTATGAGACCATTTAACATTATATGAGAAAAATATTCATGTATTTGATAGAAAATTAGATTATTAAAACTTATATTTGGCTTCTAATTAAATATTATAGCTTGACTCTTGTTACTAAGAAATGCTATCTTTTGTTACTCATATTGGTAATCATGTAGTATGAAATCTACTGCTTTTAGTTTATTTACTTTTTAGGTGGCACCTTTAAAACTGGTTGTTATTTTAATCAATTATTTTTCCTGCTATTTTGAAGCATGTTTGAATATGAAAACTATTAATTTTTTTTTAATTTTACGAAGCTATTAAAATTGAATTGTGAAGCTTTTGAAATTAAAATTTTATTTTATTAAAAATTTAACAGGTTATTAAATGGAATCATTTTTATTTATGTATTCTTAATTACTTGTAAGTTGACAACCGTGTGTATTAATAATATCAATAGGATAAATTTTTATGAATACAGTTACTTTAATAATTAATGATTGAATTAATGTTTCAGTCTATGTTAGTACCTGCAGCAGTGATATATTTTGGATGTGAAGCTCAGCAATCTAATTACTTGGACAAATCTTTATTGAATAAGTTATCCGATCCTAGAGCTGCTTCATTAGCAGCTTCTGAATCCAGGTATATTAGAATTGCTTTAATGCAGAAATAATATGCATAATTATGATATAACTATAATTATATTAAAAATAGCTTAATTGCATTGCTTTTTGTTAAACTTTGATTTGTTTTAACTAAGATTTCCAAAAGTATTTTCCAAAATGGAGCAATACATTGGATCATATTCAGTGCTTTGTATGAACAATAACCTTAAAAAATAAATTCCATCATAATCAATGGCTATAATTAGCATTCTTAACTGCATAAAGACAAGTATATACAATTTCAATAACTTATTTAAAAAAAAAAAAAAGCACATTGAAAGATAGCATGATGAAATATGAGAATGCATTCAGACCGTAAATTTTTTGGAAGTATTTCATGGGTGATATGAGCAATCATCATGTATCACTTCATTAATTAAGTAAAATGGCTGTAATTTCAGTGTAGAAGATCTTCGCCAGACTCATTTAAATGATGTAGAAATTGCAATTTGCATAAATATATTGTAGCCAGTTTTGCAGAATTCTTCCAGCTACAGGTTATAGTTGAGACTGGTCTTCGTCATTGATTTCTTTGAGCTTTATTGGAACTGCGAACCTGTTCATCTTTATTCTTTAGATGTACAAGATTGCCGAAGACTTTGCATTTGCATAAACAGCTTGTACACATTAAATTCAGTCTAAAATTGATTTTATGAAGTTTGATCAAAATTTATATTGAATCATGGTAAAGAATTACCTTTTGTTGAATTTTGAAACACTAAATTACTTGTCCAGTAAGATGCAGCCATTTTATCTATTCACACGATACACAGTGACCACCTGCATTGCCATGTAGAATGTTGGAGGAAAAAAGAACTTCACAATTTATTCTATAAAATATTGAAAGGGTATACTTTTATAACGACTCTGTATTTTGAGATGCAGCTAACTTTGATTGACTTAATATTAGACTGAAAATACATTGAAATCCAAGTCTGCAAAATGTCTTCTAAACTGAATGCAAAAAATTTGGAATATTCAACTTAATTGATTTTATGTGCATTCACACAACTTTCTAATATTCAGATATTGAATGCTTTGCCATAATCAGCCGACTCTCAGATAATAAATAATTATAAGATTTCATAAGAATTTCACTCGCTCATCTTTAAACTGTTCGTAAATTGGCTGATTTTGGATCATCTAAATTTAAAGAAAGAAACCAATATCTTGATTCTCATTCACTGTGGTTTTATCACATTCCTAATGTTGGATCAAGATTTGAAATATGGTATATTGTAGCTTCTTTCTTTGAATAAGTTCATAATTTTTTTCAACTGTTGATAGTACGTATGATCATTTAATGTTTCCTTTGGTAGAACATTGTTTATTTCTGCACTGTAAGCTATTAACACCATAAATTTAACAGAAAACATACCGTTTAGGTCATTAACTGAATGAATTAAATTTCTTTTTGAAATCAACATTAAATTTAATTTTTTAAATTTTAAGATTAAGCTTAACTAAGAGATATTTAAACATTACTGTTAAAAGAAAAATTAATTTTATTTATAACGTATTAATAATTCTCATCCAGAGATTTCAGAGAATCTATATTTCAATTTTTTAATTTTCACAATAGTTTAATTTTTTGATAGCTGAAATTGTTAAAATTTTAAAGTTTTTCAAATATTAAATTTAATTTACTAACACTAGACATATAAAAAATAATTGTTGTTAATAAAATTTTGAGCAGTATTTACAAATTTCTTAAAATATAAGTTTCTGAACTTTTTTTTTTTATTTATTTAAATACATGAAGGAAACAAAGTTTTTCAAATGTACCAATTGCTGACATCAGTGAAAATGCAGATGATCCTACTGCATCAGAGAATACAAGTGAGAATTTTCCTTCTACAACAGCCGCTTTTCAACAGAATGTGAAACGAGAAGAGAAAAAAATTCCGAAGTGGCTGAAATTAAGTAAATAGGATGTTAATTACTATTGTAAGTAATAAAGAAAAGAAAAGGGAATTTATATATATATATATGTGTGTTGTAAAATCTAAAATAATGTTATGATTTAAGTCATCGAATTATTTTAGATTTCACATCACAAATGTTTAACTCTCTTTTTTATTTTCTTATAATTTTATGTTTTTTATTGTAACTGATGTAACAAAAGTTAAAGTGCTAAGAAGAATGTTGTATAAATAACCAATTATTTCTTACAAGCAACTTTTTAAGGTATAATATATTATATTGAGAACTATTCTGACATACACATTAAAAATAAATTTTCTGAGTGTTTCCCATCATATGCAATATAGTCAATCTAGAAACTATCCTGATTCTGCTGATCTCAGGAAATTCCTTGAAATACATCATATGCAATATAGTCAATCTAGAAACTATCCTGATTCTGCTGATCTCAGGAAATTCCTTGAAATACATTTGAGAATTTGATCTTTTGGCTCAACAGTATTTAAATATTTGCTCTGCTGTGAGATGATTTTTGCCGGCTGTGTAAAATGTCTTTTGTCACCCAATTCACATTTTCTTGTGTTTGGATATCTTAAAAGTTTTAGGCTATACTCTAAAAGTTGTGACTGTAAGGGCATTTAAAAAAAAAAAAAAAAAAAAAAAAAAAAAACCTGACTCATTCCTAATCCCCGAAAGAGCTGCCCATGCTGTCCTGGCAGGTAGAAGGACACGTCATTCAAGTAGGTAGCATGATGGCCAGATGATGGTTCATCATCAAGCCACTCCACCCTTCATGTCCCCGGGAATTGTGACCCTGGAAAGCCAGTGTTTAGTATTTGGAGTTAATTTCAAAATTGATGCATCCATGTGTATTGTTAGATATGCCTTATAGGGCAGCTATTATTTCTGCTTTGAGAGGTTTTTTGATTGACTGTACTCGCGTAATATGGAGGCTCCCTGCAGTGTCAGGTTCAGTACATATAGAGTATCCTGTTCAGTGTGATGGTACAGATATATAATGAATTACATTTCCCTTCTTGGCACCATTTTAAAATCCAAAGCTGCAGTGTATCTCGGTTAAGGTCATAATAACAATATAATTGGCACTGAAAAGCACAGCAGACCAACAGATCCACCATGCGATGAGGCACTAGATCTCAATTGCAATGAATGAAATACAACCATTATGGCATCCATATGATTTGTTAATTGCACTTCAAAAATCATCAAATGTTTACATCTCATTCTGTGAATATACATAAACCTATATAAATTTTAAAATTGTAAATCATTCTTGGCTTGCTTAATCTTGAACAAAAGAAAATTTGTATAAGTTATAAATTTCAGATTATAAAAGTTTGAAAAAATGCAGTCTAAATATTATTTCAGTGGTGGAAGTAAATGACATAGAGTATTCAGTTTTTTAGCCAACTTGCTTTTATTTAAAATTAGTTTTTGTTACAGATAATAAATTTTCAGTAATCCTTGCAAACTGATTTGAAACAGTTTATACTCTGGCATTATGTTTAATTTTAAAGACTTACCAGTGCCTACATATTCAGTTTATGAAAAGTGTTTAAATCAATGACTGTATAAGGTATTTTCTACCTTCTTTCCACATGTCTTCGTGGTATAATTGGAAGCACACTCGGCACATATTCAGGAGGTCCAGAGTTTTAATATTTATTAAAATCATGTACAACATATATAAAAAAATATTTAACAAATATTCTCTATTCTTATAAAGCTAATATAAATTCACACAATGAGCAGTAAAGGGTTAAAATATAAAATCTTACTAATTATACATAACAGTATTAATCCATAGTAATTTCATATCTAGAGTAAAATTTGTGTTTGTTGTATGCTTATAACAATATTCAGTTTTTTTTTTTTTTTTAATGTGCTTGTGATTGAGAAACTGCCCCCTCAATTTCAGTCTAGTTTGCAAAATACTTCTGTTGCTTAGCATAGCAAATACAAAATTTTATTTCAGCGTTTTATGGATTAGTATAGGATACATGAAGTGTTGTTCCAATTTTATGTATTTTTATATAAAAAATCATATATATAATTTGCTTTTGAAGTTAATAATATAAATAATTTGATATTTCAGGTAGACAATGATGAATGTATAGGAAGAAGTGCATCATAAACATGTAATTTCAATAAGTTTAATAAAGTTAATTTTGTGTTAATGGTTTGAAATGCTGGTAGTATCCTTTTGTGAAATCCATCATAAGATCTTGAATGCATTCTGGCAAATCTTTTGAATACAATCCTGTAAAAAATAAGTATGATACAAAGTGAATATTAAGGGTAAAATTTTAAAAATGCTTAATTTTTTATCTATAAAATTAAAGAGGTTTTATTTAAAAAATATGAATAAGATTAATATTAAAAAAGAAGTCAATTTTTAAGTGAAATACATAATACTACATTTATGTGCAAAAATCAACTTAAGCGGACCTTTTGACTAATATATAATTCATCCCTACTTTCTTTGCAAACTATTTGTACTAGAGTACTTGCTTAATACTTTTGAAGTAATTTACCATAAAAAACGATAAAATAGTTTAAAATAATATAAGCCAAGTAAGGAAAAATAAGAAATATAATTAATTTAACATAACAGACTGCAATTCCAGTGTAGGTGTGGTAAGCCTGGAATTACTAAATAAGAATTTTGTTACAACCAATAAATTTTCTAGTTTTACTAAATTTGAAAATAATTTATTGCTGATAGTGACTGGATTATCTGAATTGCAATTGCCTGTAGTAGGAATGCTTTCATAGAATATAAAAGACAGATTGGAAAATAGCATATATGTTTGTTACACTGGAGGAAAATTACAAAACGCTCATATAACCAAACAGTTTTATTACTTATAATAGAAACTGGTATATATTTAATTTACCAACATTTTGTGATTTCAGCCTTTTATTCATTATTATTTCAAAGATTTTATTTTTAAAATAACCACATGATCATAGTTTTCATAAATTTTATAGTCTTTCAACTTAGTGAATTATAATTCAAATCCATAGTTCAGTCTTAACATTTATTTCGTATTTTGAATTTTACATCATAAAAAGTAGTTATCAATAAGACTTTTAACAAACAGCTGTGTCATGTTAATCAGGGCTATATCTGTTTGAAACAGGTCATTTCTCTTATTTTTACATTTAAATGAAATATCAATCGTGAAGATTAAAAATCTCATTCGATCTTGGATACATATTTCAGATATGTACGAAATTATTATGAAAAATATTCATGAAACAGAATGCACCTATAAACATTGTTACTGCACAAGTTTTTTTTTTTTTTTTCCCCTTCTTCCCCTCATAATGTCTTGCTAAATTTGTCAGGAGACCCATACCTTAACATGATATATTATCTGGTCAAATTTAAATATATTGTATTTCAAACATTTTATCGTTTTATATGGATTATTTATTATACTACTGGTGCCTGTAAGTGTATGATTTCAGCTTTAGGCGACCACTTTGCTGTCCCTCAAACATAATTAATGAATTATAAAAAATCTTCGTGTTTTAAAACAAATATTGCATTTTAATTATATTTTAAAGAAACATGGAATAATGTATGCAAGTATGAATATCTGGTCATGTCTTTCTTACATTTTTTCTGGCAATATTAATACTGCAAAAAGTTATTAATTTTTTAGCAAAATGTATCATAAGATATAGCCTAGATAAAATTTCATCACTTTGACATTTCATCATCAGCACTTGCCTGTGTGACTTCTCTTTCTTTCATATTTAACATTCAGCAATTCTTCAGCTGGACTGCATTTGAAGATTTCTGTTAATTTCCTATTTTTCTCTCGTATATGTATTACATAGTCAAAGACTTTTTGTAATTTAGAAAAATATTTCATTGTTATTTTAGAGTGAATATTTTTAGGGAAGGATAACTTTAATTTCAGTTGTGATAAAATCACTATTAATTTGACAAATCTATTCCTAAAATATTTTGTTTTGGAATATTTTTATGACAAATGTCCAGCAATAACAAGATTATTTTTTGTGAACATATTTTCTTCAAAAACAAAGAAGGTATATTGATAACAAAACATTACTGTTGACATATAGATCTGAATTCAGAATTTTCATCTTACTGTCACATGTTACAATCACATCATCAGGAATTTACAAAGATTAAAAAAATTATATAACATTTCAATTTTTCTTGCCTATTTCTGATAAGTGTGCGTTAGGAATTTGAAAATACATTTATTTTTAGCTTCTCTATAGTTATGCAGAGTCTCTGTGGTTCCGTACTACTACATGTACAAATAGACTTCCGTAATACCACATTGAGGTATTTCTGAATAACTGTTAAGCTTCCACCCCAATTTTAAGTGAGAACACTTGGAGGAGGGGAGTCCAAGGGTCTCACACTCCTTTATCCCTACACCAACCTCTCGAAAAGACTTTCGGCTTGGGTTCCAATGTATGTGTCAGTTATCGAATAACTACTGCTTGACTGAGTTTGCGCATACGCTACTTATCAGATTAGTGAAAATGTTGGAGGAATAGTGCATCTGTGTAAAATTTTCTGTAAAACTAGAAAAAACTTTCACAAAAACATTCCAAATGCTTAACCTAACATACAAAAATGACTGAGTGATTTGAATGGAGTGCTATTATTAGTTTCAGTATTTTAAGAAGGGCAGAAATTAGATTGCTGAAGGTCCAAGAACTGAACGACCTTCAACAGATGACTACCATGATCAGACAGTATGAAGTCTACCAAAGAATTCTAACATAGTTGAGAGATGCTGTGTGTAGGAAGAGATCTGAACTATGAGGAAATCAAGCATGAATGCTGCATCATGACAATGCTCTAACTCACATATCCCTCATCACCAATTATTTGACAAAACATTACACCCCAGCCCCCTATTCTCTGGACTTTGCTCTAGCAAGCTTTCCTTAACTTAAAACCACTTTGGAAGCATGTTGTTTCCAGTAAGAGGAAATTCAGGAAAATGTGGTGAGAGTATGTATGCCATCAAAAAATGAAGAAGAAATTATGGCAGTTGTGTACTGATGATGGAAAGAAGTACTTTGAAAGAGATAGTTGCTGAAAGTTTGTATAATGAGCAAATAAGCAAGGACAGCTAAAGTTTGATCTGTTTTTGAATAGTCATCATAGATGCAAAGCCATAATAATTTTGGACTGTCAACTGTTAAGTTTGGATTGATTACATGACAATTTATTTACCCACCTCTTACACTACTTACATATTCACAAAATATGTAATGTTGGTTAGAGTTAGTTTCTGCTAGTAGTGGCATCTGGTTGCCCATAAACTGGAAGCAATTTATGTACAGTAGAATTCATATCCTCATCACCAATTGCTGGTGAATTTGAAAAAAAAAAAAAAAAAAAAAAAAGCAATAGACAGCTGGTCTGAACTGTCTGCAACAACACAAAAAACTGCAGCTCATTACAATTCAGGTGCATCACAAAGCATATTCCAATAAGCAGTACAATGGATGCTCGTTTGAATGCAACATGAAAGCTTTTAATACTATCAAGGATGCTTATGCAATCAGTAATAGATAGGAAATCATGGTTGTTGTGAACCAGGAGCACCAAAACTGATCCCTGACAACTGGGAAAAAGATTTTTGGTTTCATAAATCTTGTTTCATACTTTATCACACAAATCACGGGATCAGCATAGTGGGTGTCTTGTCTGGAGACAGTTGTCAGCATCATAGCTTACACCTCAGTATTACTGCTAATCACAGATACTCAAGGCTAGTAATGTTTCATGATGTAGATGGTTATTTTTAGCACTTTGTCACCACGTATAATTGATCTGAAATTGGTTTGAAGAGCATGACTCAAAGTGCAAATTGCTTCCTTGGTCAACTCAGTCATCCGACTTCAACCCTATTCAGCACTTGAGGAATGAAGTTGAAAAATCACATTAAAGCTGGGTCTCAGCATTATCTAATCTAAATAAAATAAAAGGTGCCATTATGTCAGCATAGACTAAGATTCCTTAGGAATATCAGCATCTTGTTGAGTCTATGTTCTCAAAAATATCAGCTGTGATCAAAGCATGAAATATAACAAATGCATTACAAACGGATGTTTGAGCTACTTATATGGTGTATGTAATATATTAATTTTGATGGGTCACAGAAACTTTTGAATTCTAACACTTAAATTCTGAGTTTTACAATAATATATGTAAATCCTTTCAGGTGGAAGAAATTATAAAAACTGTCTGTCTCCTCCTATAGGACTGTCTCCTGATTCTGGATAAAAATCGACAAATTTAACCCTTTGTGGTCATATTAAGTTTATACATAGGTATCATGCTGGTCGGAATTAATTTTCATTGAACAAACAATACATAATATGCAATGTTAATGAAGCTTGTCGGTTTAATGTAATTTAAGATCAGTATGGTTCTTTGTTGTGGTAGTTGACAGCTGACATAACAACTGGAGTAGTAAAAAAGCTTTGGTGGCTTAGAGTAAACATATGACCATCAAGTGTTAAAGGAATTATTCATCTCCCAGTTCTCATAAATAATTAAAAAATTAATTGAATTCAAAAAAGAATGTCAATAATTATTGATGCAAAATAAAAAGAAGATTTAAAATTCACCACATACTCAATTCAGAATAAATCACATGCACACATTCCCAAACAAAAAACCAGAAGTACTTTGGCAAATTGCAGGAGATATAAGGGGTGGAATATGCCAAAACCCAAAATGAAATGAAACTTGCATCTTTCGTTGATCATCATCACAGGTTGGGAATAATGAAAGAAGTAGATAAATAAAACAGTATGTTACTGAACAAATCAAAGTTTAAAAATTTTAAATAATCTTAGAAAAACAATAAAAGTAATCTGTGTCTTTATCAGTCCAACTTTTAGAGGCCGAAGTAGTGCAAAAAATCGCAAAATTATAACATAGACAAATTTTTAAAATATGAGAAATCATAGACAAATATAAAAATATTTTGAGTAGATTCGGTCCAAAACTGAAACTTGCAAAAATAATAATCCAATATTCGAAACAAAATTATAGGCAAATTTGAAAATCCAACATATGAGAAAATAAATGAAAATTTGATGTAAATAATATAAAATGAAAAAAAAATAGAGGAGTTTGTTCTTAAAATCTGTAACACAAGAGCAAAAGAATTTTTTAGAATTATTTTTTAGTTTAATCAATTCAAAATTTTGTGTTTATCTGGAATTCATTAAACACATTTTAGGCTTTGTTACTATACAATCAAATATATATTTTCATTTCAAATCGTTTGTTGAAATGAAAAAGGAAAGTAATTCAATGTTTTTTCCCTTTCCAAATAATTCACTTTTACTATTACATAGTTTATGTTACAATAGAAGTTTTTTATTGAGTCAATTTCAAACTCATTGTTTACCTAAATTCATTACTTAAAACATTTTAGGTTTTGCTACTATACAAGCAAATATACTGTTGTTTGCTTACAGGTTCGTAATAGATACTTTGATGATAGGTTGGTAAAATTTATTTTATCAAAAGAAATACTTCAGAGTTTAATACCTGATAACTAATATTAACTTTCCACAAAAATAGCCATACAACTCTTCACAGAATAAAATCAGTAGTTACACTTCAAACTACTACGAATGTTAAAAACAACGCAATGCAAAGCACACCTAGAGTGAAGCTAACCTGGCGATATGTCTGTACTGTGACTCATGCTGAACTAACCACTCAGAGCAGATTCTGTTTCTGGTCTTGTATAGTTTTCAAATGGCTGCTGGGATATTTCTTGTATTTTCTGCTTCTTGAAATTACTGGAAGGCATATAATGGCCAGATACAGTTACTGCTATATATGAAATCAATTACAGTTATTCAATTACAATACCTATTACGGTGATACAGGGATCAGACTAAAATTTCGTCAAATGGTGTCCAAGTTTAGCAATTTCTGGCCAAATCTGGCAACAAAATTAGCTGCCAAAACTGTTCCCAGCTTGGCGATATCTCACCAAATTAGCGAGATGGACATTTACTGAATGTTAAATAGACTTGCCTCTGAATTCTTACTTTTCTGGCATAGCATCGTCAATAGATTTTCATGTTGCATTATACAGAAAAGTACAACAATTTCACATATAATTGCACTGAAATCATCATGTATGTACATGTTTTTGTGATAATAATTTTTCATTTCAAAATTTTTGTTGCTCTTGTGTTACAGATTTTAAGAACTAAATCCTCTAGTTTTTATTTTATATTATTTACATTAAATTTTTATTTATTTCATTTACTTTTTTCATATGTTAGATTTCTTTCACAAGCTTCATACTTGTATGTTTTTGGACTGTATGTACTCAAACTGTAAATTATTATTATATTTTTAAGCTTTTATTGATCATTTATGATTAAGGTTTTTATTTTGTTAACACAGCCTGTATGTTTTCAAAAATTGCATATAGTTTTGTTTTTTCAAATATTGCATTAAAAAGTTTGCATATTGTTTTGTATTCAAGTACTGCAAATTTTGATTTTCAAATTTGCTCAAATAATTTTTTATTTTTCTATTTATTATTTTGCAGTTTTTTTGAATTTGTCTACATTTGATGCTGGAAATGTGGAACAAATTTTTTAATTTTTTTCACTACTTACTTCGTAAATACAGATTACTTTTATTGTTTTTCTAAGATTATTTCTAAATTTAAAACTTTGATTGGTATCTTTGTCAGTTCAGAAACATGCGGTTTTATTTTTTTTACTTCTTTCACTTTGCCAAATGACTGATCGATGATGCAACAAAAGATGTTTCATATTTCATTTTTGGTTTTGGAATATTCTGCCCTTCATTTCTTGAAGTTTCCCACTGTGCATCAATGTGTAGTTGGATTCAGAACTGCTTTTTACTTTGTATTTATTCATAATAATTATTTAACCTTTAACTACTGTGACTTAAATTGTTGCATAACTACTGTGAGCAGTCTCTCAGACCGCTTCTGTTAAAAACAAAACATTATTATATGTTTCTTATTTGAATAAATGTTATTTAATTTCATATATTTAACTTTTTCATGAAGATATAAAGCAATTTTTATACTTAAATCAGTTTATTAAAAAAATATATATAATGATAATAATTCCTTCGCTTAATGTATCTGGATCAAAGAAGTAAATTTTAAAATTCAACTTTTTTATTTTACATTAAAATTTGCAATAAGAATGCTTTAATACGAATATAGAAAATGAATTTTTGTTTTAAAAATTATAATTCGAGCTGCATTTTATATATACTACTTTTCTTCTGCATTGTAGAACACTGGTTCTTTGCATGCTATACATTTGTAAACTGTTTTCCTTTTTTTTGCTCGGTGGACAAATATAGCACGTCCTTTTTTTTTTTTTTTTAATCTAATTTATTGTCTTCAATCGCAGTGTTTCCTTTATCTATTCTGAAAACTCTTCTTATTGTAAGTTTGAGTTCTTTAGGTAAAAATGATGAAGTTGTCCTCCGCTTTACATGAGACTGCACCAACTGAATCGCTAATAAAATCTTTTCGTTTCATTTTCGGAGCCAATGGGATAAGATTGAAATAATACGAATGCATTTATTGCACAGATGTCCAAGTTTCTGAAGTATTGCCATAGGCCAACGTCGGGTTCGACGAGCAGCTGAATAGATTGAACGAAGAATAATATTGTGACTACGAGTTTGAACACCCTTGTTGGGCTCTTGAATAGACCATTTGAATTCATTTCTTCCAATTTAAAATCTCTTGTAGAAGGAGAACATGGATTTTCATTTTCATTGGCAGATATTTCTGAAGTTGAGCCGTGGTCGCTTTCAATAATTTCATCATGGGAACTTTCATCAGAGAACTGTAAAATTAGACCAATTTCGAAGTATTTATTCAATTTGGTCTTGGGTAAGATATATAGAACATTTCCTGCATGCATTTGAAGCCATTTCAAGAATATTTATAAAAAAGCAAAATATGTAACAACAACGAGAAGTGAACTTTATTTGCCGAAATTTGAATCGTATCTGCTGTGATCGTTCCCACAGACTGCTGAGGGGGAAAATTTTAAAAAAATAAAAGAAGAAATAGAGCTACCCATATGCAGCTTGGTATGTGACCTTAGACAACTGGTTTAGGAAGGTACTAGGAATGGCAATACCCATTAATTATTCTAAGGGGGGGAAGCATTTAATGGAAAATGTCGCGTGGTCTGAAAGACCGCTCACAGCAGTTAAAGGTTAAATCATACCTGGTGATCCAGAATACATAGAAAATGCTGGTACAACTGTTTCTTGGGGTAGAACTGTGTTATCTGCTATCATGCAACAGTCTTTCAAAACGCATCTTCGACCCTGAATTTTAAGGGGAGAAAAAAGTAAAATAATAAATTTCTGAAAAGCTAATTAGCCATAGAACTTATTATGGATAAAATAATTTCTTGTCTAAAAATTAAAAGAAATTTGTCAGGTTGTTTTCATGTTAATAATGGAATAAGATAATGTGATGCTTTGGGCTTCTACTTTCAACCTTGCCCTTAGAAAGATTATTCACGATTTGTAAAATTTCCTGGCAGATTTTTAATGTATAATGATGTGGCACAGATCTAATTTCAAGAATTGGCTTGAGAGAAACTTTTAGTTCAGGAAGGCCGGGCTTCATACAGATAAAAAATAATCTGATATTTTTGAAAACACCCTAGCACAGTGGTTCTCAACCTTTTCTGCCCCATGCACCCCTTTCACTGCTGCTAAACTTTAATTCCCCCCTTTCCTTTACAAAACTTGTAAAGTACATATACATTTATTTATATTTAGATTATTTTTAATGTGTTTTATACATTAAATAAGAAAATGCAGAGTAAGAGTAGTTTTTCGTATCCATAAACTAAAACACTTAACAGTAACCTGACTGCATTTCCCCTTAAAACTATGAAATTTCCCTCTGAATGAGAACCCCTGCCCTGCCTTTTTTAGATACTTATCAGGTTAGGTTTAAAAGAGTGGATAGTTTTATTTATCTTGGTTTTGAAACCAATTCTAATAATGATATTAGAATTAAAATATACAAAATCTTATCTGCTAATTGATGCCTATGTGGTTTTTGAACATTTCTAAAATAAGGCTTAATCAAGTGGAAATCTAAAATATTTCATTCAATTATAATATGACCCATTTTAATATATGCTTCATACCTGGAGGCTAACCAAAAAAAAAAATCAAACTTTGTTGGCATTTTTTGAAGAAAAAGTTTTTAAAAAAATTGATGCAATAAAACTTTGATACTCAAAGAAAATGATTTAATTATGAACTATATAGGATTTATATGAGCAGTGATAATATTTAATATGTTAAGGCCAAAAGAATGATGTTTTGCTCAATACATTACAAGTGTGGCTATAAGAATACTGAACTTTACCTGGTCCTTTAACCCTTAGCGCTCTGTTGGCTCCGCTACGGAGCCGTCTGTCATTTGTTCGGTAACTGCGTAGGCTCCACTACGGAGCCATCCGTTATTTGTTCCGTAACTCTGTATGCTCCGCTGTGGAGCCCAATGTTTTTAACATGATTAGGCGTAAGATATTACGAAATCGTCGGCATTGGCAATTGTTATCTGTAGCTAAAACGGCGTAGGCAATTATTATCTCTAGTTAAAACTAACTCAATCTCTCGCTACTGTTGCGACTGAAACTTTATTTGACCCATTTTATGGTTAGCAACATGGAAAAAAAATAATTATTGTGATGAGAATAATAGAGCTGAGTGATAGTGAAGATGTGTTTTGATTTTTCATTGTTAGAAGATATTGTGGAAGACAATGTTGATTATAATTCTGACACTTCAAGTAGTGGTTCCAAAATTATACTACCAAAGAGATGAGGAATGGTAGTTATTGAAAGTGAAAGCGAAGAGTCACCGGAAGACTTAGATGAATGGTGCGATGTCACGGAAGAATTAGATATTCCGGATAGAATACATTTTAGTGTATCGCCAAAGGTCATTGAACCACAAATTCCTACAAATATTGTACAGCCGATACAATATTTCAAATTATTTTTCACAAACGAAATGGGAAATGAAATTATAAAAGAAACCAACAATTACGTAGAAAATGTTCTAAAGAATAAAAGAAATATCTAGTAATTCTATTTGGAAAACGTGATGTGTGGTGGAAGAGGATGAGTTTTTTGGGCTTTTATTGGAGTTATTATCAATATGGGTATGATACCCATATTGCATACAAATATGCAGGATTATTGGTCAGTTAAGGAGAATAGTCACATCCCTTACTTTAGTACTAATACTTACAAGAAAGAGATTTGTGCAGATATTCTGGATGCTGCATTTAAAAACACCGGATCCTGCGAAAATGTGCCGGAGTTGCTGGTAGGCAGTGGTACCAAAAACGTGCAGAGCGCTAAGGGTTAACAGCTATCATGCCATTGATGATAATTATAATGCTTTATTTGCCACATCAGAAATGAAATATTTGAATTTATTATCTGATAACATGTCAAATGGTTAGGTTATGTGAATATGGCAAAGCATATGAAGGCCTTTGTACTTTTTATATGGAAAACTGGCTCATATGTCAAAAGATTCATGAACCATGAGAAAAAATATTATGTAAAATTAGCTTTTAAACTGAATATTTTAGAATTTAAAAAATATTTTAACAATTTACTAAATATTTTCTTTAACATTTATCTGACAAGAAATATATTGTCATAAATGTATGTAAATATTTGTATTTATTTGGTTGTATTTGGAATTTGATGTATTTTTATAATATTATGTGTCATTTTTGTTTACTTATTAGCTTACTTGGTACATTTTAACAATTTTACACACTTTTTTTTTTAAATTTCACTTAGTTGTGCATGTGTTTATTTTATGCATTATTTTGTAGATCTTATAATTCTAAATCAAACAGTATTTGAATTATAAAAATGGCTCAGTTAGAATCAAAGATACAGCCAGAAGGGCCTTGGCAATAAATAATTCTTTAATCATGAACAACATTCTGTAAGTAAAAAGAAAAAAGGCAATTTTGCTGAAAACCTTCAGAAGTGCTTGGACAACCTTATGTGACTGCATGCAGTCAATTGAAGTGATTCAGTTCACAGCTGATGAGTACAGTTGTGCAGTTCAGATTTTGCTTTGCCTGTGATTTTGCTGATCTGTGATATTATTTCATCTAAAGAGAATTGATTTTATTTGCTGTTCTCCTTGAACTATTTATAGCTGCCTACCTTGCTGTAAAGCTTTAATTAATCCAATAAAATATTACTCTCTTTACCTGAAAAGATTTCTATAAACTCAAATTGCAGAACAATATATCTGACAGAAATCATCTCCCTAAGATGAACATCTCTGAAAAAGACATTTATTTCTGACAAAATAATTAAAACTAAATTGAACTGCATTTTGAGAAATTCGGATTACAAACTATCAACTGAAACAAAAATTTACGATTAAAATTTTCAATAATAATAATAATATAATATAATTTTTGTAAATGCCAGTTGATTTTTTTTTCATTCAGATTACAGTTTAATACTTAATATAATTTTAAACTAAACAAGAACAATAGTCCTACTTGTACTTGTTTACTTGTTGGTATTGTACTTATTGGAATGGATCCTTTTCAAGATAGAGAACATTAAAATCCTATATTTAAAACAAGCTGCTGGAGATTAGCAGTGTCAATCTGTGAGGGAGGTTCATCATAACTGAATGTCGGATATTTTTACATTTTTTTTACCAAAGAAAATTCTTTAAGGCGTTATGACTGCAAAGGGCTGATTAAAATTCTTTGCCTTAGTTGATCAATCTTTTCTGGCTCAATATATGACAAAATAGGCTCTCCTAAGATATGTATATTGGGTGTCCTGTTTTTCCGAGAACTGGATGCTACACCTACCTTGTATGGCCTTTGTTAAGAAAACAGTGAAAGATGGGGATCAAGATAAAAGAATGGTAATGTAAAGGCATTTTTCGTTATCCTAATAGCCGTGGATGAATTTAAGGATTAGAAATTTTTCAACAGAAAATCGCAGAAATTCTGAATAAATGCTTGCAATATACAACAAAATTTGTATTTGTTCATTTGTTACATACAATTTTCATATATTTAGAGGTTTTATAGGCTTATAAAATAACATTAAATGTTATAGGAAATTAGATGGGACCAAAAACTTCTTTTGTTATATCCAGGGGTTCATTATAAATCAAGTTTATTATAGTGCGGTTTGACTATATAAAATTAATATATATCCTAAGCTGCAATTTTGAAACATAAAAAACTTCAAGATAAACTAGAATGGAAGATAACTGAACCATCTCCCCTCCCATTCACTATGCATTAGAATTATGTTATAAAAGTTAAAAATACCAACAAAGTTTTTTTTTTTAATATTAGAGTTTTAATTATAAATAGCTACAATACACTGCAAAAGACCAAACATGTATGAAATATAAAATTGGAAGCTCTTGTTTATATTAAATTTAACTATTCACTTATTTATAAGAAACTAATAGTAAAGTTAAAAAATAAAGAAAGAATTCTCTTGTGCCATTTATATAATAGAGAATATTTGTTAATATTCATTTATTTATATACAGAGTTAAATGCAAGTTTTTCTTCTTTAAGGTAAAAAGATAACATAAGCTTCACTTACTATAACACAATTTTTTCCAATATAAACATATGAACCAACATGAGCTGCATTCACAATAGCATCTTCATCAATAAACACATGGTCCCCAATATGGAGAGGAAAGAAAGCCACTCTGTTAAAAGTTAGTTTATTAGGAACAAATTAAGTCCAAAAATAACATATTATTGCAAAATACAATGACTGTACTTTAAATATAGTTATTTTAAGAGACAAGATTGCAGATCTTCATTATTTTTTTAATATGATGATTGATAACAAACTAATTAATTAAATACATTAACTTTGAAAGCATATGAAAGCTCGTAATTTCACATTACGAGCGATAAGATGCCTATCATTTCTTTCTGTGAATCTGAAACTTTACTGAACTTGAAAGCTTTTTCGATAGGAGCAAAAATCTTTGGAATCGAAGGTTTACGACTGTAAACCCTCAATTATTGCTCATAACGTGAAATTCAATAATAAACCTTTGAAACCAAATCTAACTGCGAGAGAAAGAGCTACAATGCGCGAAATTCATTCTAACCCGAATATTATCATTTCAAAGGCCGACAAAGGTGGCCAGATAGTCATCATGGATAAGAACACTTACATCGATGGTGTCATTAAACTCTTAAACAAAGGACCATATAATCCGATCCCTAAAGATCCTTCACCTTCGGACTTGTCAAAAATAAAAACTGCGATCAAATCTTCGCAAATCATTTCAAGCAACTTAAAACATTCGCTTATCCCATCTGTTGCGAATAGTGCCAGATTATATGCTCTTCTCAAAATTCATAAAAGTGGTATTCCTTTCCGCCCTATTGTATCAAATTTAGGTACTGCCTCGTATCCATTAGCTAAATATTTAGTTTCTAGATTTTCCACGCTATTAGACAATAACATTTATACCATAAAAAATTCAATAGAGTTTGTAAAAAAGATTAAAAACATTTCTCCTATTAATTTACTCATGGTTTCTTTTGATGTTAAATCATTATTCACCAATGTCCCAGTGGAGGGTGCATTAAGATGTCTAGAAACCAGACTTCACGAATTTCATTTCTCTTGCATCGAAATTGATGAGCTAATTTCTCTCACTCAACTCTGTTTGAAACAAACACATTTTGTTTTCCAAAATAAATATTACAAGCAAACTGAGGTATTAGCTATGGGAAGCCCCCTCAGGCCCATCCTGGCTGATATCTACATGCATTATTATGAATCAAAATTGTTTGAAACTTTAAACTTCCCGGCATGGTTCCGCTATGTAGACGATACTTTTACCCTGTTTGAAAGTAATAAAGATGATTTAAATAAAGTTCTTTCAACAATGAATTCTATTGATCCTGCTATTCAGTTCACTTTTGAACTTGAGACTTGCAATTCTCTTCTGTTTCTCGACATTCTGGTCACACGTAACACATCCAACTTCAATACTACGGTTTACCGTAAACCTTCATCGGTTTGCCTTCCACCACACTTTAAATCATGCCATCCGACTAAACAAAAGTTAGCTTCATTTTATTCCTATGTTTTCCGTGTTGTTCAAGTTTGCTCCTCCAAACTAGCCCTTGATGAAGAACTAAATTATTTAAAAGCAATAGCTATTTGACAGGGGCTTTTAACCCAACATTATTAATCAAGCAGTTAAAAAATTCTCATCTCAACACACTAAAAGGCAAACTCTTGTTTTAGGAGATTATAAAAATTCTGTTGTCATTCCTTTCTTTCCATCAATTAGCTTAGTTGCACATATTTTGCAGAAATTTAACTTTCGGGTTGTTTATTCTCCCATCAATAAAATTTCGAGTTCCATACTCAAGGACCCCATTCCGGATATGAATTCCTGGGGTATTTATAGGATTCCTTGTCAGTGTGGTTTAATTTACATTGGCCAAACTAAGAGAGCCTTAAAATTTCGCATTAAGGAAGATGAGGCATATGTTAGAAAAAAGGAAATAGAGAAGTTGCCCAACATTGTTGGTCCTAAAATCACACTTTCAATTTTTCTGCTGCCAAAATTATTCAAAAAACATTTACCATTGGTGAACTGGATTTTCTAGAGGCATATCACATTCATAAAAATCTTTCTGTTCTAGTTAACAATCCTAATTCCAATCCAAATTTGCCTTCGGCCTTTAAAGAAATTATGTTTTAGTTCTGGTTTCACCAACAGATGGTGCCACTTGCTTATTCTTGTCCAGGCTTTCTTATCTTATCTAATCACTATTTCGTATCTTGTTCATTTGCGGTTTTGCAGCTGAGGATGGTGGTTCGGTAAAACCATCGAAACTAGTCCTGTGAAAATTTTGTAAATATAACATTGATTTTTGTTGTTTGACTTCTGAATTAGATTGTAATTTATCCTTAAAATCAATCAAAAAAACCTATTTACTAGCTTCCCCCCCCAGTAGAAATTCTCAAGGCAATAAATTTAAGAATAGATTCAAAGCAGTTTGTTTGTTTCTTTTAGTGAATTTAAAAAAAAAAACTATATATCAGAAATACTATAGATTTCGTCCATGCCAAGCAAATCCCACAAGTGCATATTTTTAAATTGAATTTAAAAAAAATATGTATCATAAATATTCTATAAAACCATTTTGAATAGAACAAAAAGAATGCATGCAAAAATAGCAATTTTGCTAGCTAATACTAAAGAATTATTATACGCATGGCTGCCTGAAGAATTATCATGCAGTTAATTGCCACAGTTGGATACATTCTGAAAATTTGCCTACTTCTACTAAGGTGGTTGAACAAATATACAAGTTATTGTAATTAATTGAAAACATATGCATTAAAAACAAAGAAAAAACGGTACTATTCTGTTTTGAGGGCCGTAAGAAAATTGCAGCGAAAATGTATGCGCAAAAGCGCCAAATCTAGCAAACGTGCCCATTTAAGAGCGCGCCAAATCTAGCGTACGAGTTGATTTCAGATTGCGTAAGTTTACATAGTTCTATATTTCTTAAAACGCCACTGAAATACTAGTTTAGTTTTTAAATCCTTTTTTGATATCCTATAGATTTAACAATTTGAGAATTGCCCATGACAAAAAGTCGGCAATATACTCGGTATCCATGTGCACATTGACCCATTTTCACTTTAAAAAAATCCTAAAATTGCACAAAAATGGCACTGCGCACACCCTTGACTTTATCTATGTACACATCGACCTATTTTCACTTAAAAAGTAAAAGAAAATTGACAAAAATCCAATTGTTTTTACACTTGTAAAATGCGGCAAACAAATAAGTGAGTGATTCTGCACTTTACCGAGAATATTTTCAAAGAAAAGGCATCATTAATTATAGAAAACTACATTTGAACACCAACGAGATGGCTGTTTGCATTGAGTCTGCTGACAAGGATTTTTGCATGCTGTAATTTTCTACCAGTGATTATTCAGGTGGAGCCAAGGCTAATCAGGCTTTACCGATATTGCGAATTATGTTCTATTTACATTGAATTTGTGTTAAGAAGCTGTTATTTTACACTCAAGTTTTATTTTTATTCGATTCAGTTTGTGTACTCATCAGTGTGGATCAACACAACTCGGCTGAAACAACACGCAAGTTGGTGAGCTCTATTTCGGGGCTATTTTTTGGTTGTGGAATCCTTTTATAGAGTGTTTTGAGTGATATTTTCTTAAATTGTAGATGTTCCGATATCATGTTTATCTATTTTCTGTGTGCTTAAATGCATTATTTTGCATTTTATAAACAATCTTACTTTTCAGTGTAGCTGGCCTTGACATGGTGGTGACTGAGTGCTTTCGACATTCTTTTGAATTTTATGTACTATGAAAACAACTTTCGAAGTACTTTTATGATTCTACCTGGTTTTATTTACCTACAAATTGATTTGCATGGATTTTAATACCGTTTTCATGTTTTTATGAATATCTGAAACTTCGGACTGAGATAAGCTTTACAGGGAGACTGTTTGTTTACATTTGAAAGTTGTCTTGCAGCTATACGAAACTTTTTGCCTTTCAAGTTTTATTGTGCTTTTATGTAAAAGCATATTTCTACGTATTTTCAAATTTTAACTGCTCCATGACTAATTTTCTTTCAGACGAAGTACTTATAGAGGCGTTAAAAATGGAATGTTCATGTGGTGCTAACTGTGTTCGCCCATTGTTTAAAATGAAAGCCTCAGAACAGGAAATATCGCATAGAGTTTTTCATGTTTCACGAGAGTGTCAAAATTTTGTTTTGGAGGATCAGAGAATAACAATCGGTTGGAAATCTTATTCTGTAAAATTATGTATTCGTCTTAAATGATGCACCAACTGCTTGGCCTTCGGGCATACTAGAAGAGTTTGTGAAAACACAACCGTTTGTGGAGTGTGTGCAGAGAATCACCTGCATTCTAAGTGCTCTTCTGATTTCGTTCGCTGTACTAATTATAATGAGGAACATGATGCTCTTTGTAAGGAATGTCCTGTGTATTTGGAAGAAATTAGATTTATTAAGGATCATCTTGATATATAAAGTTTTTTTAATTATTATTATTATTTTTATTTTGGTCGGCTGGGACATTTTAAATCATAGTCTTATTTGTGATTTACATTTCTGCACTCTAGTGAATTCTTGTAATGAAAAGAATTTTCCCTTACCTTTCAATTTGATCTTTTACGCACAGCGGCTGTTCTAGATTTTGTTTATAATTGATCTAGAGACCGTGATTTTATGATTTTAATTATAAAAAATTTTTAGCTGATTATACCAATTTTAGTGTATAAAATATTTGCAACAAAGTAGTGAACTCATATTTTATCTTATTATATATTTATATTCTTTTTACCTCAACCCTTTTTATCTATGAAAATTTTAAACTGTAATTTAAATCACTGCGCTGCCGCTGCTTGTAGGCTCTCTGCAATTGATACCATTATCAAAGAAACACTAGATGTTATTACTTTACAAGAGCCCAATTATATTCAAAATAAAATTGCGCATGCTGTGGGGACTTGGAGAGTTGAACATGCAGAAATGGGTAGAACCGCTATCATTATTACCAAGAAACAACTTGAAATTGTAGTGGACGTAGTACAAGATTGTATTGTGGCTGTCTCCATGTCTGATGGTCAAAATAACTTTGGTATTATTTCGGTTTATT